TCTTTCCCTTATAACATAAATACAGAGCCATTAGAATTGTTAAGCATCAGAAATTTGAGGCTTTTTTATATTATTTTTGTGTTTTATCTTGTTTTGTTTTATGAAAGATAAATGTGGAAACAGCACAGCACAGTAGGTAAAAGCTATGGTCAGGAGTCAGAACGACATTTAAATCCCTACTTGCTGGCAATAACACTTTGAACGAGCTACTTAACTTTCCTAAGCCTTGATTTCCTCATTTGCAATGTGTGCATAATAAAAGTACCTACCTCATAGTGTTGTTGTGAGGATTAAATGAGATAATCCATGAAAAAGGGCTGTGCACAAAGACTGGCACCTAGTAAGCACCCAAATTACGTTCCCTTAAGAAGAAAAACAAAGAGGGATTGGAGGGGGCAAGCCTGACAGAGAGACCAGTTAGAAGACTATAGCAATGCTACAAAAGCTAGAAGCCCTAAACATGGAAAAAAGAAAAAAGAAAAGGAAAAAAAAGCAAATATAAGAGGTATTTCTAAGAAAAAAATCTATGTGATAGAAAAATCACAAAAGAAAAAAATCAACCAAAAAAATTAATGTGTATATAATGAAAAAAACAGTATTAAGTAAAAATAAGTAAAAGATCAAACTATATCTATATAACACAAAGGAAAAGTTCTTTCACAGAATGTTGAAAAAAATTGAAATGGTATAAAACAATGAAAAGCACATAAACAATTCACACAATACAAGAATTAATAAACAATCATACACAAATATATTCAACATTTCTCTTTATCTTAAAAAAAACAGCATTAAGAAAAGGTAAAATCTTATTCCTAAAATCTTAAAATAATACCACTCAATGCTCAAAAGGCTGTGACGAAACTCCTGTACTTATACAGTGCTGGTGTCATTACAAATAGGCACACCCCCTTTTTTTTTAAATAAATTTATTTTTTTAAGTTAATTTTTATTGGAGTATAGTTGATTTACAATGTTGTGTTAGTTCCTGCTGCACAGCAAAGTGAATCAGTTATATATACACATATATCTACTCTTTTTTAGATTCTTTTCCTGTGTAGGTCATTACAGAGTACTGAGAAGAGTTCCCTGTACTATACAGTAGAACCTTATTAGTTATTTATTTTATATGTAGTAGTGTGAATATGTTGATCCCAATCTCCCAATTTATCCCACCCCACCCTTTCCCATGCTGATACCATATGGCCCACCTCTTTAGTAGGCAATTTAGCGGTATGTTTCCAAGAGCCAAAAACTGTCCTAACCCTGTGATAGAAGAAAATAAAACTTTGGGACTGAGAAAAAAGCGAAAAGACAGAAAAGTTTATTTGTACCAAGATGTTCTTTGCAATATTAATTATCCATGTAAAACTTAGTTATAATTAAATAAATTAGAGCACAACAACCCAATGGAATATTAGAAAGCTATTAAAAATAAAGACTGCAGCCAACACTGAAAAAAATGCTTATGTTAAGTTTAAAAAGTAGAATATACAATTTCATCAATGTTATTATTCAAACTACTAAAAACATCAGTATTTATGAACAAGGTGTAGAGAAGATCCTGGAAAAGAGAAATGTTTTTTGTTAGGATGTAAGGGTAATATATTTTCCTTGTAATTCTTCGTTGCTATGTCAGTGTATGTGCAACAAATAAAATTTAAACACATCAAAATTAGGAAATAAATGTTGAAGCCACAAGTAAAACTGTAAACACTATCATTTCTGAGCATCATGTGGACTGCTGAAAACTGGTTTTCTGTATACATATCATAACAGGATAGATAAGATATGCTCACATGGAATGTAAAAAAAAATGGAAGTTTATCACATTACCAAAACTCCCTAAACCTAGAATAATTTTATCTTATACTAATCATGGCCAATAGCAATACTAAACATCAATATTTAATTTACTCATCAGTCAAATTTGATATGTATGGCTGCAAATATACATCTAAACAATTTATTACAAGTCATTAATAACTTACTATACTGAAGACTTTATCAAAACAAACCAAAAAAACGAAAACTCAACCTTCACTGAAAAAGTCCTATGAGGTACATACTATTATTATTCTCCTTAGCAGATAAGAAAACTGAAACCAGAGAGGTTAAGTGACAGAGCTGGAAATCCAACCTAGTTTTCTTGACTCCAAAGCCAATCTTTTGAAACCGCACTACTCTATTAGCCTCAATTCTTAATCAGCTCTCATTTCCACAATTATAATTACCTTTTCACTCAAAAAATATTTACTGAGATCCTACTGAGTCATTTGGTATTTGGGGGCTTGGAGACACAACAGTAAAACAAAAGTTTTTAAAATCCCTGTCTTTGAGGAGCTTACATTCTAGGTCAATGGTTCTCAACTGGGGATGATACTGCCCCCAGCGGACATGAGATGACATATAGAGGCATTTTTAGTTGTCACAACTGGGGTAGCAGGGAGGAATGTGCTACTGGCAGCTAGTGGGTACAGGCCAGAGATGCTGCTGAACATCCTACGATGCACAGGAAAGCCACGCACAACAAAGAATTATCCGGTCCAAAACGTCAATAGTGCCAACCTATTCTAGAGGGAAGATAAAAAGAAATAAAACATAGAATATGCTATCTACACATATATCTTACACTTACAATTGTACATTTCTTGAAAGAAGAAGCTAAGCTTTATTCTTCTTCATATCCCTTGTAATACCCAACTTATACCTTGCCCGTGGCAGATATTCAAAAAATGATGAACAAAATAGAAATAAGGTAGTCATTTTCTATATTACTACTGGTCATAGCATAGTACATGAAATCTTCTTATATGATGCAAAGGGTTCAAACTAAACTTTTTCTCACCTTTGAAATCACATTCAGAAAGCATCAAATACACTACATCAGGATCCAGATCAGAAAACATCTCTGAGATACTGGTGAAGAGTTCTTCCTGATCAACTTTTGTCCCACACATGGAAGGAAGAGTAGTGGTTGGCTCCTCATGACTAGCAACACTGGATACAACTTCCTTAGAGTTTGTAGTCTTCCGAAAAGGATTTCCCCCAAGATTTTTCCTTCTCCTTGGCATTCTGACTTCCAAAACTAAAATGTTTCCCTTCTCTTATTTAAGATGTTTGATATTTAAGTCATACCTCAAAGAAAATAGGGTTAAATGTCTTGCACAATCCAGCAGTAATAGGACCTAAAATAGAAAGCAAGTTGAAACACTCAGACTATAGTTATATTTCCATGTCTAAAATCGGAATGACATCTTTATTTAAGAAAGTACCATCAACTCTGGTGGCAGCAAAGCCAAAAAGCAGTCAAACAATTTCTCTCTCCAAAATATTCAAGTTTTTCAGGATTGAACATGTTAAAAATTAAAATATTAACAAATGTAATATATTTTCAGAACAGTGAGTACACTGTTTTAGTACAATTATTTCATTTTAAAAAAAACAGTATTCATAATGAGAATGCTTACTGAACACCTATTTGGATGTCCAATAGGCATCATAAGCTTAACATGTCCAAAACTGAGCTCCTGATCACCTACTTCACACCTGTTCTTCCTAGTCTTTCCTATCTCAATTAATGCAACTCTATCCTTCCAACGGCTCAGGTCATAAACCTTGGAATAATTCTTGACTCCTGTCCAGCCCACATCCAATCAGTAAGCCAGTTTTGTCAATGCAACCCTCAAAACGTATCCAGAATATGATCATTCCTCACCATTTCCACTGCTACCACAGCGGATTAGTATAAAAGTCTCCTAACTAATCTCCTTGCTTCCACCCTTGACCCTTCAGTCATAACAGCTAGAGTGACTCAGTTAAACCAGAGGGTCAGATCATGCCTCTCTTCTGCTAAACTATCCACTAGCTTCCCATCTCATTCAGGATAAAAGCCAGAGCCCTTAAAAGGGCCTATGACGCAGACACTTTTTACTTCTGTGCTGTCATCCCTAATCCTCTTTCC